TTAATTACTTAACCGTTTTGAGTTGACTAAGTAATATCTGAAGTAACAAACAACTACAATGTAGTCTAAGTAGTTATATTGTTTTTACATTGTACAATGTTTACCTCTATTTTTCCATGATTAGCGATGCATTTTTTTTCTTAAAATTTATCGAGACCTCGATCCCTGAAGTACTCTATTTAATAAAAGAAGAACTACTAAAATCGGTTTAACCGTTTCCGATATCTTTAAAATTACATAAAAAATTAAAAATGGAAACATTTTAATCTTACAAAATGCAACAAATTGTTTTAATCAAGTGTAATTTACAAGCATGTAAGTTACCAGTTAACTTCTGTAAATTTAAAATTATTTTGCGGTCTTGTAAGTCATGCGGTGTGTAAGTACTTACTTACTTACTTATCTTCACGCACATTCCCTAACGGGGTAGCCAGAGAGAACAGATCGCCAAGTGTCACGATCCTTACATACCTCTTTCGCTTCTTTCAGGTTCATTAACTTCTTCATACATGCACGTCTAGGTATCCGAGTACTCTTGACCCTCCCCTCTTCGAGCAATTTGCTCACATGGTCTTCGAAAGTTAGTCTCGGTCTACCTCGACACCTTTTAATATTTACTTTCGCTCTATATATTTTCTTCACCATTCGGTCTTCACTCATTCGTTCAACGTGCCCAAACCATTGGAGTACGCCCCTATCAATTTTTGTGATAAGGTCATCTTTCAATCCTGCCATATTGCGAATCTCTTCGTGTCGCTTTCGGTCGGCTACGGTAACGCCGCACATTTTACAAAGAGATCGCATCTCCACTGCATTCAACTTGCTTTTATGCTTCTTCTGGCATACCCAGGTTTCGCTGCCATATAACAAAGTCGGTACCAACACTGCGTTATGTATTGCAAGGTGTGCACTCTTCACCACGCCTTGCCTTTTGACTAATGCATTCAGGGCACCATTGACTTTGTTTCCGGCAGCGACACGCCTATCCACATATAAATCACATCTTCCATCCCGGCTGAAAGCACTCCCCAAGTATACAATTCATTTACCTGTTGTAGACATTCCTGATTTACCCATATTTCACATTTCGTTCTCTCTTCGTCCTTTTCAAATACCAACTACGAAACTAGTATTAATAACTATATAATTACAGACTTTATTCTTACAGTAGTGATGTTATTTAATGGTGATGTTCTTGATTCTTACAATAGTTTATGACTTCGCTTAGATTTTCAAAATACCATTGAGGTTCGTTAAAGTTTCTGGTGGACCCAAAAGCGATTATCTCCTTTACCGAAATTTACATAGCACATTTGAATAAATATTTAAGTCTACTCTTTATTTGTTTTACGCCAATGCCGAAATCAGGTTAAGATACTGTGTTTTTTTTAAAAAGTCGGCTGTGGCAGAATACCAGCGGTGACTTAAAATCACTACATAGCTGAGTCACAGGCCAGTTTGTCTCATTACTTTTATGTTACTTTAGTATGTTTCTAGGTTAAGTTTGCGATGATTTTTATTTGTACATTTTTAATAACATGTGTGAACTGAGACAAATAAAAAGCTTATTTTTTAAAGAATATTAACAATACTACAAACATTACTAATATTCCCCTTAACCACTCGTGGTAAGCTTAAATTGCTTGTGTTACGAGTGGTTCACGCCAGTAGTCGAATGGAGGATTCGAACCCACGACCTTTTTGAGTTCGCGGTGCGCGCCCTGCCATTAGGCTACTGTCGCTTAAATTATTATTGCGGGCAAAACATTTCTGTTTCTTAGCTCTTTTGAGCTGTTTTGACTGCATATACGGGCCGAAAACAAGTAAATGCAGCGTGTAGTGAGTATTTATGTATGTGGGATGTTATGGGAAGCTATTTAATTTTCTTCCAATTGCAAGAATTTTCTTACAATTCGACAGGTTTTTAAAATTGAATAATGTATGTTCAGTCTTTCAGTTCTATTAATTTGAAGCTATGGTGGAGATGGTTGGGTATGACACCCGTGGTGGAGACGGCAATGGGTACTATATAAACATTATTTTGTCTCCAAATTCAGGTCACTTCTTCTTTAAGCTTTGCATATTTGCTCATCGTCTCGCCTATTGTTTTTTTGTAAGTTGTGTGTGTTGGGTGTTGCAATATCTATTAGGTAAATGATTTTCTTTACTTTATCGTGTAGTAGACTATGTCTGGTCTATTATAGTAAATGGTCGATAAGTATGGCGCGGTCGTAGTAGAGTTGGTGTGTTGAATTTTCCGAAACAATAGTCGTTTGCAGTTGCAGTTCTCACCAGGCTCATAACTTTGGTTAAAAATTTAAATTTGTTTAAAAGGCTATCGTCTTCTACAGCGATTTTATACTCGTATTTTGATCAATATTCAACATTTTAATCACTGTTTACCGTTCACAAAACATTCAATAACTTACAAATAACTAGGAAGTCCCGAAATTAATACTCAAAACACCACACTGTTATAATAACAGACAGATCTGTAATTACTTTAAGGACAGATAAAAGCGGACGGCGCGCTTTCATTTTTATATGGACTGCCTGTTTTTAACCAAAAATAAAAAACGCGAACAAGTTGTTTTTTTTTTTCACTGCAAATAAAATATCAGCTTAAAAATGTTGCCAAACTGCCGTTAGTTGCCAATATTTATCTAAAGCATCAATTCAGTTTTTGAAAAATATTGACATTCCTTATTCTTCCCGCGTAGTCTCCACATATCATCGTCAAAATAAAATTGCCAATTTCTTTTCTAAATATATATATTTATAAGTGTTGCTTGCAAGATAGTTATTTAAGTATAGTAATAGCATAGCTAAAAGGTAACGTCACGTAATAGTCAATTATTTTTACTACTCTCGACTACATAAAAACTAGTAATATTCCGGTACAGATCATCTCGTTTAAAACTGCAGGCGCCTCGTATTAGTACGCAATTCAATTTTAAGATGTCGTTAAGTCTCGTAGTGTCACTTGCTAGTGATAGAGACAGCTCGATAATTAACGATATCTTAAAATTGAGTAGCGTTTGAGTACATTTGTCACGTTTATCATATTTGGTACTAGTAGTGACATTGTGATTATATTTTACATGATAAAAGGTATAAAATCTCCAAGCAATACCACAGAGGCGCGTGCCTTAGACGACCCCTAAAAGTGAATGTCAACAAAATTACTTATTAAGTTATAAGTAATTTCATCATTCAAAAATAAGTCATTTATAGCATCATTATTAAAATATATTCCCATATTGGCAGTAAAAGTGTTAACAAAATCGAAATACGAGAAAGTTCTATATTCGAAGAGTATGTTTTTATATATCAACGATTTTTCGGGAACCTTTGAAGCGATTTAAATGATTTTTTATTGAAAAAAGTGCAATATTTTAAGAATATTTACATATAAATTAGAAAAAAATCCTTCTCTAAGGATGGATAAATGGGAGATTAATCTTGTTGCGTGCCATAATTAATGTCTGGTACCTGGCGAGTGATAACTTGCGCCATCTAGTATCGAGTAGCAGGACTAGGAGAGCTTTCTAGGAAATTCCATACTAGAACTTTCTACATCTAGTCAGTCGGGACCGGTATATACTCGAACATTCTAGATGTTTTAGTAGAAGAGGCCCTGTATAGGGCCAGTAAGGACCGCGACCGAGTCAGTATTGAATTGGCGATTCAAGCAAATACTTCGAAGCGATATAACTGCGATTTGTGTTTTATTATTAGTGTGTTTTAAGTTGTAATTGGTGTTCAGTAATTAAAGCGAACCCCAAACTCGTAACAATATTTTAAAGTAACTACAGTCTAACTGACTCACATACTATTAAGACTGTCTTCTAAATAATTACATTAAAATCTTCCTTACAGTAGAGTGACTTTGTAAGAAAATTTCAAACAGTAAATTCAAGGTAGAGTATATTTGTTAATATACTACATGAAAGTAGAGTTTATTTGCAAGCATAATTCACGAAAGTAGAGTAAATTAATAGACATACTTCATGATGGAGTAAATTTGTTTAATATACCTCATGAAACTAGAGTTAATTTGTAAACATACCTACGAAAACAAAATTCTCATAAAAAGCATGGATTTTGTAAATTAAATACACGGTGATGGCAGAAATAGGTGAATGGTGCCTACTGCCTGCCCACCTAGACATAAAAAGATGTCTTACCACGTAGAAAATTGTTTGAGAATAGAATTTATTGATTGTAATAATATAGGCAGATTGTAATCTAAGAACTTCTGTACAATTTCCCAAAGGGTGTGATCTATGTGATCTATCGTACTAAAGCCTTTTTTGGAAACCGGCTCATTCGGAAAGCCGGAAGTCGTCGAGTCTGCGTGCGAGACGATTCGTAATGACTCGAAAACAACACGTACGACAATATACGTGATCTATAAATTATTAATGATTCGGCTGGCATGCTGTACTCAGAATATTTAGGTCTATTTTCAGCACGCTTCGCTGACGGGTGATTGGTGCAGGGACCGACACCATTGCAGTGGTGAGCGCAGGGCCGATACCCTCGCATGGCTAATGCTGTTTCCTATAATTAGACTGTTTAATTTGGGTTAAGCATTATTTAATGGATTTTCCCTGGGTTCTTGAATTGATTTTCCTGAGTTTTTATTAGTATTGATCTTCATTCATCTGCCAAAAGTTGTAAATAAAACAAACCCTCCGTACGACGGGTAGGTACGTGTCGCGTAGGGGAATTTTAGACTAAGAGGTGCTTACTGGTGACATAAGTATTTGAATAAAATATTGGTATATTCCCACTTACTCCTCTACCTGTTGCCGCTGAAACAATCCCACAGCGACATCAGGACAGCCGAGAGCCGTCACGTAGTAATAAATAACATATTTTTCAGGAAAATTTAAACGCGTTTAATGATCACTATTCGAGCCAAAAAAAAACACAACATAAAAATTAATTACAATGTTTACACATAATGATCAGAATTTTCAAAAATGTGTTTTTACCTGTAAAACTGGACTAACTCCTGGTGGCAAGCTGCGTGGAACCCAGGCCAGTGTAGCCGGCACACCCGCGCGCAACCGCGGTATACCGATGTAGAGTCGGTCCCATCCGATCTCTAAGCCAGTAGGAACCGTATTCTCCGGTTGGAACTTTTCCAACAGAACAGGATCAGGTGGGAAATCGAACTGTAGGAAGTTCCATTGATTCACAACTTCAAGTGACGCGCTCGCTGCCGCCACCCAAACGCACAGCCAAATGGTCCTAGGTCCCATGTTTTCTGTTCACTGAAATTAACGAATTTGATTAATCATACAAATAAGTTTTCGTACAGTCAAATAATAAAAGTAAATCCAGCATAGCCTTGATAGAGCCATGCTATACGTGATAAAGGCATACTGCAGCTATATTATGTTTGTAGTACGAATGGATCGGCTCGACCGGGGAAATACCGCGCTCTCACAGAATACCAGCGTAAAATAGCAGCTTAATACTGCTGTTTCGTATGGTGAGTGTAGAGATCCGGAGAGCCTTTTTTACTGAAAATGAGGCATTCCATCTTAGTCTTTACGGGTGACAACGCATCTGCGTTTTGATTCTTAATCGAGGATTAATGTAGATATCTATGGGCCACAGCATCCACTTACCATCAGGTGGACTGTGTGCTCGTTTGTCACCCTTATTCCATAAAAAAGACTAAGTCTATGGGCTTACTTTAAGTATTGAAAAGCTTTGTTTATAATTTAATACTTGTGTTTTTTGTTAGAATTAGTAGCTGCTCAGTTCGTTTACAACACAGTAAAAATAAAACTCAGACAAATAGGTTTGAATTGAAAAATGCATCTAAAAATATCGTGAGCAATTGATTTTTATATACAGAGAAGATATACACATATGTAAAATCACCAAGAGGAGAATATTTTATTTTATCATAAGAGCTCGCAAAATAATAAAAAAAAATAGATGATAAACAAATCATGCATGTATGTCGCATATGATGGTTATAATAGATTTCGATATTATTTTCATGTTATTTCAAAAAGGAGCGTTTCATTTTGTAAGGCTTAGGCTTTCACGGACTACAAAAATCGTTTTAACTTCTCTTTTTATTTCAGTTAAAAATTTCATCCTTTATTGTCAACCAACATGTTATGAAGGGCACTACCTTGTTTTTATTCAAACTATCAATGAAAAGTAACCACTGCCCTTTACTATTTAATTTGATAATTGCAATTTTTCATATTTATGTGCTAATTTACAGCTTTCTCGTTGGTCAAGGCAAACTTCGTATCGAAAACTTCGTCTCTGATAACAAATTTATTATTATTTCGTTATATTAAAATGATAATGATGATGGGTATGAAATTTTCTTACCACTGTTGGTGTGTCTTAACCCTTTATATCACATTTGTTTGCTTCATCAATTCTAACTATCTTTTACTTTAATTGTAATATATAATTATTAAAAATTCATAGTATATACTATGACAACAACAAGGATAATCCTTACGTATATAATCCACGTATATTGTAACTAGCTTTCTGCTTCGCGGCGTTACTCGCGTTCAAGTTGTAACGTCGAAGCCCACGCTTAACATGAAAACTTTCCAATATTTCGGAATGATAATGATCGCAAGTTTTGAAGAGGCCTTTAAGAAGAGTAAATCCGCTCTAACAATTTCTTCCTCTTCGTACTCCAGTGCGGTATTCCTCCTTCATAAATGAATTAATATTTATTACATCTTATATTACATTATATTAATTTTTATTATATTAATCCCACTAGTGACAACCTGGTAAGACATGCAGGAAGTCAATGGATGCAGGTGGCTCAGGACCGTGCTTTCTGGCATTCCTTGGGAGAGGCCTATGTTCAGCAGTGGACTTGTGATAATGATGATGATGACAGCTGTACGGTTGCGGAATTGCACAAACAGACGTGCTCAATACTTTTTTTCCTTCAAAAATCATCGTTTATTTTTATTTTTATTTTGTGTGTTTTTTTACTTAGTTCTGTAATTTATGTACACCTTCCTCCTAACCATTCGTTGTAAACAATTAATATTTACGTAATAAGAACGATAAAATCGCCTGTTGAATCTTTTATATTTAATTCATTTTGTTCAAAATATGTTGAAAATTAATTTCGCGTCATAATTTATTACGTGAATCTTAGCTAATAAATGTTTAACATCTTCTATACATATAATAAAAATGTAAATTGCAGATGCTTGTACATTTTATGTTTTTGTAACAAAATTGATTAAGAGGGACTAAAAATAAGTAATTGAACACATTTCTATCATATGTAGGATATTCTTATATATATATATATATATATATATATATATATATATATATATATATATATATATATATATATATATATATATGTATATATATAAAGTAATGGTCTGAAAGGCTAGTGGACCTGATGGTATACCGGCTGTAGTTCTAAAGTTCTGTGCACCTGAGTTGTCTTCTGTGTTGACGCATTTGTTCAGCCAGGAGTTGTTCCAATCAGGACTGGAATAGTGCCTAAATCTTGGAAGCTGGCCAATGTACAGCCTATGCCTAAAAAAGGTAGCCTTGCCGACCCTACGAACTATCGGCCAATATCAAATAACTCCATATTCTGCAAGATCATGGAGCGTATTTAGAATGCCCGCTTAACGGCATACCTTGAACAAAACAACCTCCTTAGTGACCGGCAATACGGGATTTTCTAGCGTATGCCACACACGTATGGGGCGAGGCACTCGAAAACAGTGGGAAGCACTTACTGTTTCCCTTGATGTCTCGATTAGTCAATCCAGGGATCAAATCCTCCGAACCTCATGTTCTATGGGCGGTTTATTGAGTCCAGAGCCAAAGCAGCCGCAAGGAAGCAGGAAGGAAACTTTATGTTTTTGCAAGGGTGCGGCGCTACTTCACGCCGGGGCAACTTCTTACCTTATATAAAGCGCAAGTTCGGTCGTGCATGGAGTACTGCTGTCACATATGGGCAAGTGCTGCAAAATGGCAGCGTTGGACTCAGTGCAGAGACGTGCTAAGAGGCTCATTGGTGACCTTCTTTGATCCTCTAAATAACCAAGTTAGTCAGCCTCGAGCACAGGCGCAGAGTAGCTAACCTCTCGGTGTTCTATAGGATGCATTTCGGAGAGTGTCCGCAGGACTTGCACGCTTTAATTTCTCCCTCTCCTTTCCACCATCGGACGACTATGCAGTCGGCGGGTCTTCACCCCTTTATTGTGGATATCTCACGCATTAGAACCAAATGGTTTACTTCGACTTTTTTAATGCGTACAGCAAAGGAGTGGAATAATTTGCCGGAGTCTATCTTGCCGTCCGAATACAATCTGGGCGTCTTCAAAGCAAGAGTTAATAGGCTTTTGTTACGCTAAGACAGTGGGATTTACCATCTAAGGCTGCAAACTTACCACCAGGTGGGATTGTGGTCAAGCACTGACTTATAAAAAGTAAAAAAAAAACATGATATTCATTATCCAACAAATATTAATAATAATCCCCGTTTATAGGACTTAATAAGTTTAATAATACGAATAAATGATATAATTAAATAAATATAGCAGAGAATTATTATCGATAAATGTTTACGACTACGTACTTGGGTACAAAGTTCGCTTTGTGAAAGTTATTATGAAGGAAATATGAACCTACGCGGTATTGAAATTAAAGGAAAGTGCATAAAATTGTGAACACTCTGTACTTTTCGTGTAGAGGTACATTATGCTTAAAATATGATCCTCATGGAACCTTATTCCGACCTGCTACATCAGAATAGCGTTTCATACCAAATAATATCATTTCTTAGTTCCAAGTATTAAAAATGCCAGATTTTACATAATTAATTTATAGATTAATACTTAGTTACAAAATCTTCGTAAATATAATACACTTGCGAAAAATTACACCGAATTGTGTATGATCATAAATTTTCCTTCTTAACTCTCCCATACAATGAATTAATCACCTTTGACATGCTAACATTACTCCCGACCTTTGTGGATATGACTATGCAATGTTATATTATCAATTGAATATTATTAATCGATCTTTTTTTTTTTTGTTTATTTAAGGACCAGTAAACAGCTTCAACAGAGGCTTAATAACTACAGTCTTAATCCTAAAATTTGAGTTTAGTGAAGCCAACACCACCAGCCTCAGATAATGATTTATAGAATAAACTACAAAAGTGAGAGATGTGAAGGAGGACTTACTACATAAAATACAATATTACAAAATGAAGAAAAAAAAACTGTTCACATTTTAGTTTTGATTTCAGAAAAATTATATAATTTAAATTATGTTTTGATTTATTTTATTTAGTTTTTAGTTATCACGACTCATAAGCTTATTAATCACTTTGCTTCTATAGGAATTAGCACTGTTATTAAAAATGTCAATGTCCCAAAAGTGATCATTATAATTTTGCATTAAGCGATACAACGGCGCTCTTTTGCCAGCATTGGTTCTACACAAGGGAAGGGCAAATGTTTGACGGGAGTATGTTGATCTTACACGTGATCGAGTAGGTACACGATATCGCAATTTATTTGTTACAGGGATACAATCATATCTATTATGGCAAAGGTCAAATAATAACATTGCTACTAATTGTTGTCGTCTGAGCTTTAAAGTTAACATTTTGTATTTATTTAAAATAGCATTATACGAACAATATTTATGCTTACCTCTATAGAACATTGACTTAAAAAACTTTTTTTTGTACCCTCTCAATCTATCGGTATAGACATTATAAAAAGGATTCCACAAAGCAACAGCGTATTCCAACTGAGAGCGTATCAGTGCCTTATACAAAAGGATATATGTTGCTGGGTTTGTGAAATCCTTACAGACTCTCATTACAAACCCAAATATTTTAAGAGCTTTATTACATATTTGTTCAACATGTGTATCGAGTGTTAATTTACTGTCAATGGTAATGCCGAGGTCACAAATAGAATGTACTTTTTCAATAGTAGAGCTGCACAGGGAATATGATTGTTGATTAACATTAATTTTCTTAGTGACAGTTAACATTTTGCACTTATTAATACTAAGACTTAATTTATTTTTTATACAATAAGCAGAAAAGCGGTCCAAGTCATCCTGGAGTCTGAGGTGATCATCATTGTCACAAATGGTACGATAAATTTTAAGGTCGTCAGCATATAGTAAAAAGTTACTGTGCTGAAAACAGGAGTCAATATCATTAATAAAAAGTATAAATAATAGTGGTCCCAATATAGATCCTTGAGGTACCCCGGAGGTGATAGACACAGACTCTGATTCGTAACCATTAATAACAACCTTTTGCGTGCGGTTAGTTACGTATGATTTAAACCACCGCCAAAGATTGCCACGTATACCGTTGAAAGCAATTTTATCAAGTAGGATTTTGTGATCAACTCTGTCGAAAGCTTTACGAAAGTCTGTATAAATACAGTCAGTTTGATGATTTGAGTCTAAATTTTCGAATAAGTCCGTTAGATATATTAATAAATTGGTAGTAGTTGATCGTCGTCTTACAAAACCGTGTTGTTCGGGTATGATTAAATTATGCAGTGATGGATATATAGAATTAAAAATTAATCGTTCGAAGAGCTTCGACACAGCTGATAAAATAGAAATAGGACGGTAGTTCTCAACATTTCGTTTTGAACCACACTTATATACAGGCACGATTCTAGCGGCTTTCCATATGTTAGGACATATACCTTCACTTAAACATTTATTAAAAAGGAAACACAGCGGTTTAGCAATATTAACTGCTGTATTTTTCAGAAATACTGGTGATATATTATCGGGCCCCATACTTGTTTGTATTTAACGCCTGTAACTCTTTAAGAACTTCATCCTCTGATAGTATGATAGATGTTAAATTAATGTGTGAATCAGGGCACTGTGTAAAGTCGATACTATCAATATCATATTCAGCTGAAACTGAAGATGCTTCAAAGGTTGAGTGAAAAAACATTGAAAATAGGGTACATGCTTCTGTAGGATTAGTGGCGTTATTATCATTATAGTAAACATTGTCCGGAATACTAGCAGTATTTTTACGCTTTGAAATATATGTCCAGAAATGCTTTATATCTTTTTTAATATTATTTTGTATTGACGACATGTAGTTTTTATATCTTTTTGCACACTCTTTATTAAAGTACTTTCTAAGCCTAGAGAATTCGTTATAATCATAAGAGTTTTCATATTTTTTCCACTTGATCCAGGCCCGCTCTTTACGTTTGAAAGTGTGAATCAGAGTGGCGTTAAACCAAACAGGGAATGAAGATTGTTTTAAGATTTTTGTAGGTATGAACTTTTTAATAAAACCATAAAGTATTTCGTAAAAATCTATCACAGCCTCTTCAGCAGATTTACCTGAGAACATTTCGTCCCATGCTACCTTGGAAAGCTCATTATTTATGACGGGGTAGTCAGCATTTCGAAAACAAAGCTGTCTTCGTCCTTGGCGTAGATTTGTTATCATGCATATAAGGCACTAAAGCATAAAAAGTAGGATGAAGACTATCCAATGGTAACAAATTATAAGGAGCATCCATAATTTTACATTCTAAAATATTTGATATAAATAAATCTAAGGTGCGGTCATTTAAGTTTCTAAAGTGATTAAATTGGAAGCTGTCCGTCAAAGCCATAAAATTAATTAAGTGCCTAGAAGATAAAGATGCGTTACTATAAAAGGTAGGTTCCAGATAATTATCTTTAGGAAGCCAATTAATTGTGGGTAAGTTAAAGTCTCCCACCATTAAAAATTTACATGAGTCTAAAGGTTGCATGACATAACATATGTAATCTAGGTAAGAAAGGTATACTTCGTTATTTAAATCGGGTGGAATATATGTAGCGCATAACAGAAGCTTATTAGAACCCGAACCTATAAGTATCATGGTATGGTCAACAATAGAAGGCGGCTCGGGGGGAGCTTGAGGCGCGGAGGGCAGGCCGTATGGCACGGCAGCAAGTGAGCTGCGCACCGCTACTAATAAGCCAACGCCCTCTTTACGGCCGGTCACCGTCCGATTCCGATCGCTGCGAAATACTTTGTAACGTTGATCTATTAATTCGTTATCATAAATGCCACTATGAAGCCAAGTTTCTGTCAATATTATTATGTCATAATCGTGAAGTAAAATATTCATAAAAAGAGTGTGCAACTTAGTTCTTAAGCCTCGACAGTTCTGATAGTAAATTGATATGTTTTTTATTTCGGGATCCATTTAATAAAAGTTCATAATTTATTCAGTATTTCATTAGAAATATTGTGAAAAAAAAAGATTAATTTTCGATACACATTTTAAATTAAGTAGATGAGATGAATTTTTAAAATTTCTTTTATCATTGCGCCGTATTTGTGCATAATAATTAATGACTAAAAATATCCTAATTATGTTAATGTTTTGTGTATAACAATAAAGTATTAGATAGTTTAAAATTTTGTTACATAATACATGGTATATTTTAAAGTATAGTTTTATAAAATAGTCTAGAAAATAAGTTACTGACCTTTTTGTAGAAGTAAATGTGCAAACAACATGCTCATATATCAGTATCCCCCATATATCAGTACAAAAATGTAATAATAAAAATAAACAGTAAGAAAATAAAAATAAAATTGATATCAAATTTCTATTACAAATTGTTCTAAGGCTTAATTTTTTTAAGATCCTGTAGTGAGCGTATTGGTAAGACAGGAGATGAGTCAGTTTTTCGTACCAAAACTGTACCATTATTGTACCAAACATATTTGTAGTTACATGTTTTGGCCTTTTCACGGGATTCTCGAAAAATCTGTTTATTTTTTAAGGTTAGATGTTCATTTATATATATTTTATTCGATGATCCAGTAATAGACAACTGTTCTGAAGTTAAGCCTTTTTTAGCACGGTACGAAGCTACAAAATTATCACGCAAAATTTTGGACTTAAATTTTATTATGGCATTTTTAGGTCGTTTATCGTTTTCACCAACATGAGGAACCCGATGGGCCAAAATTATGTCAGATGGTTGGATTTTCTGTGTTATTAGCAAGCCAATATTAATAATAACTGTAACAAGATTTTCTCCACGGTGCTCAGGCAAATTTGATATTTCAATGTTACAATCTTGCAGTAAAGAAGAGCTTATAAATTGCTCGTAAACGCAGATTTTTAAATACCTCGGAATATATTATATATGTGCCAATTTTAGAACCCTAGGAATTAAGTGCCTCTAACTAAACGGTTCCAGCTCTACATTACCAAATTTTTGGAGAGATCATTCACAATACAAGCTGTCCGTTTATGGAATGACTTGCCGTTATCAGCAAGACGCGCTCAATCCCTACCGGTTTTTAAGAAACATGTACATAATTATTATTTTCAACTATGATTCTATCCAATTCATATGTATATAATTATTCTACCTTTATCTAGCTAGACACTATTTGTTTATATGTTATATTTAATATTTTCAAAATATATATTTGTATTTTTATATACTTATATTTATAAATAATATATATGTATATATTAATAAGTATGTATGTACTTATCTTATCTATGTACTTGTATACCATTCTATATAATGCATATTTATTTCTATTTTATAGTTTATAATAAATATAATGTTATTATTGTCGCCAAACCACACATATGTTTTTATTGTTTTCTTGCAATCATGTCCGTCTTTTTGTCTGGATCTGGATCTTTTTATCTTTTTGTTTGTTGTTGTCTGGAAGAGATCTCTCTTAGCGATAAGACCGCCCATTGTACCACATTTCTTTCTCTCTTTTTTTTTTTTGTTGTTAGTATATTTTTTGGCGTGCAATTAAGTGTTGTCTATCTATCTATCTATCTATCTAGAATACTGCAGAATACTCATTTTTGCTGCACCTAAAATCGTCGGACTTATAACATCCAGACCGGTGGCAATTATTGGGATGATTTACCGCATTTGCCACGTCTGCAGAATGACTAACTAATTTGTTATACCGGACACTGTGTTCTCAAAATTGTGATTAAGAGAAAATCTCTTTCGTATAAATGTATGAGGTGTCTATCGGTATACTAATAATTTCACCAACTTCATTTGGTATCAAGTTTACCGATGTAAGGCAACTGATAATTAAGCACACACTGAGATTTTTATCTCTATTTTATGGAATATTTTGAGGCAACATTGGATACCTAATATTTTCTAGATATATGTAGTTCACTACTAGGTAAAAAATTATTTTCAGTTTTTATGAATTTTACTCAAACAAATACGAAAGCAGTGTAGCTGCATTAGATTTCATGGTACGGGAGTGATACGTGTACCTACAATTACCGCGAGGAGCAACTGTTAAAGGAAATATGTACTGATTTATCACGTATTCGGTAGTGGCGTGAAACCTAAGAAACCTAGATGTCTGAGTTGTTAAAAAAAGTTTGTGAACATGTGAAAACCGCTCATACGCATTGGAGCAATGCTGCGAACTCTTTCCTGCTCGCAAACACTAGGTAACGAGGTGTTTTTAGAAATATAAAACAGTTTGAAGCAATGATAGAATCCTGAAAGTCACCTGTCAAAGCCGGTAATCGAACCTATGCAAACGTAATTTCTATAGTGCGTAAGCATCTCAAATCACGGCGACGCCACTCAAATTTAAATTGCAATTTGAAGTGTCAATTTACTTTTGATGGAATAATGAGGTGAATTAGATAAAAAATCTTTGTGTTATCCGGCTAGCCAGAGGTGTCCCAAGGCATATCAACCACATAATATATTTTGATAATTTTTATACCTCTGTTCCACTAGTTACCCATCTTGCTAAACAAGGGATCTGGGTACTGTACAATCTAACAGACTTGTAAACTGCAAACTACCTGACAAAAAATCGCTAATGAAAAAATCTCTTCCCCGGGGAAGTCGTTATGAAGAGCAAATGACTAGCTTTGAAGGTGTTGATTTCACAGCTGTAAGTTGGAAGGACAATAAACCGATCACTTTCCTATCTTCATATGTTGATGCAGAACCTGCTTCTCTAGTAGAAAGATTTGACAAAGTTAATAAGACCAGGATCAAGATTACACACCCACGTGTAATAAAAGAGCATAATGCCCATATGGGCGGGGTGGATCTTCTGGATAGCTTCATTGGTAGGTATCGTATATCAATGAAAAGCCGTAAGTGGTACCTCCGTACATTTTACCATCTGTTAGATATGACAATAATAAATTCCTGGCTTGTTTATAAAGACTTGAAAGGTACTGAAGCAACTTCATCAGTTCTGAATTTGTGTCAATATAGACTGGAACTAGCTGAGGTTCTAGCTAATATAAATAATGCATCTGAACAAACAAACGAGGAAGGCCCAGCACCAGTAACAGCGTTGAAATGGCAATACAAGCCAAGAAAAGTAGAGGACCAGGTCCACCTAAAGATATCAGGACAGATAGTGTTGGTCTCTGGCCTGATGATTGCGCCCGCAGTAGATGTAAAATGCCTGGGTGCAAGGGATGTACACAAACAAAGTGTGAGAAGTGTGGAGTAACCCTTTGCCTTACTAAATCTAGGGATTGTTTTAAAAACTTTCATATGTAATTATTTCTAGTAAATGCATAGTGTTGTATTTATGCAACAGTTGTTTTTTTTAATAAACACCTATAAAAAATGATTTTTTTATTTTTATTATTATTTTTCCCTGTCTTGGCATGTATATGTCTACTACATATATTTTTCCTAACTTATCGCTAACAAATCATGCATTTAAGGGATATACATAAACTAGAAACCAAAAAAAAACTATCATTCAATCGCAATTTTTTAAAGATGATGACACCATGTAACCATGTCCGTTACACACTTTAGTGCCAACTGATGTCTGCTGATGAAATGATTTCTGCTCCATACAATAATACCCGCATTACGGTCTATGCATACTCTGATTATAATATATTAATGGTGAATATTTAAGTACATATGTTTATAGTAATGCAGCTTTAAAATAACAAATAGCAATTAATTTATCCACCAAATTTTTGAAGAGGAAAAAAAGTAAAACTAGGTAATTTGATTTTAATTAATGGGAAACCACCACTATTCCGATGATATCCCGGACGTCAGTCTCAGCGAGATTAGAATAGCTCTCCAGCACAGCACCGTAAAACTGGCAAGTCTCCGGGCGGGGATAGAGTTATTGAAATTGTTATCGAAATTGTTGACGAGTACGTTTACCTGGGACAAATAGTCCGACTAGGTTTATATGTCCAACTTCGACCGAGAGGTCAATCGACGGATTCAACTCGGCTGGGCACATCTTCTGAAAACCTCAAAACTAGATTGTACAACCAGTGCGTGTTTCCAGTAATGACCTATAGATCTGAGACTTGGTCCTTGACTGCTGACCGTATGAGGAAGCTCAAAGTCACTCAGCGAACTATTTAGAGAGCTAGGGTTTCTCTGCGTGATAGACTTAAAAACTAGGGTATCCGCAGTAGAACCAGAGTAACTGACATAGCCCAACGGATTAGTAAGCTGAAATTGCAATGGGTCGGCCACATAACTCGAAGAACCGACAACTGTTGGAAAAAGGTTCTCAAGTGGCAGCCTCGTACCGATAGGTGAAGTGTAGAGCATTCTTACACTAGATGGAGTGACGACCTGGTAAGACATACAGGAAGTCGATTGATGCAGGTGGCTCAGGATCGTGCTTTGTGGCGTTCCTTGTGGGAGATCTATCCTCAGCAGTGAATTTGTGAAGAGCTGTAATGGTGATGATGATGATGATGATAATGATGAGAATGGGAAGCAATAAACTGAGCCGACATGTACACGCATACACTTGTTGTAATCTACTCATATCCGAAAACTGTATCTAAATTAGTGTTTTACACAAACGTTGGCAACGAACGGAATTTGAATCGGAAACCATTTAAGTTTAATATGGGTACTCGTATAATACGAGTAAGTATAGAATGTCATGGGAATATTAACACGCACGCAACGCTTGTTAACTAAATTTGCATTATTTAAATTGTTCCAGTTGACTGAGAACGTAATTTTACATTAACCTAACGTAATTAATATACCGATATATCAAGTCCATTTTTTTATCTTAGCACATAATCAAAATAAACTAAACGATCAGTAAACATGCACATAGGAAAAACACACACTAAGGAAAAATGTAGCGTTGCTTAACTTCCGATTCCATCACCAAATATAGTCCCGTGGTTGACATTAGAGGTGACTATGTTAAACGACGGATAAATTTAATATACTCTTATAGACGATGGTATAACCAAATAAAGTAAATGTAAGCACCCTAAGCAGTGACAGGGAGTAAAGTCTTTTTTTATAGAATAAGGATGACAACCGAGCACACAGTCCACCTGATGATAAATGGATGCTGTGGCCCATAGACATCTACATTTATCTTCGATTAGGAACCAAAATGCAGATGCATTGTCACCTCTGAGGACTAAGATGGAATGCCTCGTTCTCAGTAAAAGGGGTCTCCGGTTCTCTACACTCACCATACGAAACACAGCAGCATTAAGCTGCTATTTTACGCCGGTATTCTGTGCTACAACCATAATATAGCTGCAGCATGGCTCTACCGTGTATAAAAAATGGTAACAGTAGCAAAAGTCCGGTAGAGCGATCTTCAACCCTGCTTAGCGCGGCATTAATGGCAAATCCTCCATACCGCCACCATGTGCACATAGATATTTTACAAGTACAGTATAAAGGATTTGTGGACAATAAATTACTACAGGCTTAAAAGAAGGTAAACCAAGTAAACTGGTATTACACCAGTAAATACTATTATAATCAAGAAAGATGAAGTGTATTACAAAATTTGAGCATAATTAACAATTTATCTATAATTATAATTATAAACAGAGCCATGAAGTAACTGTTACTTTCGAAACAAAGTAATCAGAACTAAGTTGCTTACCTAATTTATTTAAGCTGTGTTGAAATATGGTAACATATTTAAAAAAATATGAACAAAATATGTTTTTGTATATTTAAAAAAATATTTCAAATACTTGTTATGGGGGAGCGCATTGAACACTTGCTTGTCTCTTATAGATGAGAGAGGGTCTGTGCCCAGGAGTAAGACGCATATAGGTTGTAACTTTATTCACTTTAAGTTATATAGTAATTATCAGATTGACTTAATGTAGTAATAGCATGTGTGATATAGTAAACGCAAATAGAGACCTCTGTTCAGCAATGGACTTGCTGTAGTAATAGTATGTGTGATATAGTTAACGCGAATAGAGACCTCGGTTCAGCAATGGACTTGCTGTAGTAATAGTATGTGTGATATAGTTAACGCGAATAGAGACCTCGGTTCAGCAAGGGACTTGCTGTAGTAATAGTATGTGTGATATAGTTAACGCTAATAGAGACCTCGGTTCAGCAATGGACTTGATGTAGTAATAGTATGTGTGATATAGTTAACGCGAATAGAGACCTCTGTTCAGCAATGGACTTGCTGTAGTAATAGTTTATGTGATATAGTAAACGCGAATAGAGACCTCGGTTCAGCAATGGACTTGCTGTAGTAATAGTATGTGTGATATAGTTAACGCGAATAGAGACCTCGGTTCAGCAAGGGACTTGCTGTAGTAATAGTATGTGTGATATAGTTAACGCGAATAGAGACCTCGGTTCAGCAATGGACTTGCTGTAGTAGTAGTATGTGTGATATAGTTAACGCGAATCAGAGACCTCGGTTCAGCAAGGGACTTGCTGTAGTAATAGTTTATGTGATATAGTTAAACGCGAATAGAGACCTCGGTTCAGCAAGGGACTTGCTGTAGTAATAGTATGTGTGATATAGTAAACGCGAATAGAGACCTCGGTTCAGCAATGTACTTGCTGTAGTAATAGTTTATGTGATATAGTAAACGCGAATAGAGACCTCGGTTCAGCAACGGACCTGCTGTAGTAATAGTATGTGTGAAATAGTAAACGCATAAGCACGCGCCGGTAAAATGTGGCACATGCCATCAACAAGTGCATCCTAATTATGATAGACAAGTTAAACACGTTTAAGAGGATTGTGAAGCTGTAAATTTTCATACAAAAAGCGATAATGTTTTTCCTCCCGTAAACATAATCTAATTTTTATTACTAGTTCGGTATATTTTTATTTTAAAGAACTATTGCGTACGATATAAGTTATTAGCGTCTAAATATCTATGTTTTGCTTAAAAATTTCTCGAGCGTTTTTATTATTTTTTTATTAAACTAAATTGAATTACAAAAAAGAACTGAATCTAATGGGACCAAAATAGTCTCATTTCGTAAAGGTTAAAGGGGGATTAAAACGTTATCGCTCAAAACAAAAAGGAAATGAAGGCAATTGCGTCCAAGCTAATAAAAACTAAATAATACAATATCAAAGAAATGATTTAAAAAAAAAAACAAATTGTTTGTAATAAATTTAATAAAAATTTGAGATGTGATTTATAAGGTCTAGCCACAGATTAACTAATAGTCACCATGTAACTCTGGCTGTGCAACAGGCTATACTGAACATGCGGACGAAGTGATTTCGCATTACATTCTTTTATAAACATTTAGTCAAAGGTAAGCAACAGCAGTTATTAGAAATAATAACCCTAAGATTATAATTAGGTTTATTGAGCTTTTTTAGATCAAACAGCCTTGATAACAACTTTCCAACGGTTAGGTATAGCGTTAAATTGGGTGTGGGCTAAAAACAGAATACTTTCAGTTCCATATTATTAAAATAATTTACATTTAAATATAATTTAACAAGACTTTAAAATCATATTCAGCAATGATTTGAATTTTAATTGCAATTTTCAGTGTTTGTTTAATTGTTAATTGCAATTTAAGTATATATTATAAATTATACAACATACTCGTCGCTTAAAGAAAACATCGTGTCAAAACCTGCATGTATGAAAAATAAAATTATTCTGGGACACATTAAATCTGCCTAGGCGTATTAAAGCAGCGCGGAGGAGTGATGCAAAGTACCTGATGTTTCGGTATTTTACAGCACCTATCACCGGGGAACGTCGACAAATTAAATTAGTTTTATAGAATGTGAAATTATTCGCATAAATATAAGAAATAACTATAAGTCATTATAAGTTCTTTCATTATGTAATTTTATCTGTTAGCAGTAAGTAATATATATTATGAAGAAACTAATAAATTTTGTGTTTTAAGTTATCTGTTTCTAAATTATTCTGATATTAATGTTGATAAAGCTGTAAATATTATTTAAAAAATATAAATAATACAAACTGTAAATATTATAAAAATTATCTATGTGAGTTTGCCTCTCCGTTTCCCGCTTATTTTGTTGCTCCACTAGACACACTACAGTCGTTCTATGATCGAGATATTTAAGCATTAATCCTCGACTATCCTAGAAAAGAGAGCCAATGATTTCATCGACGGGAAGACTCGTCTTGAGTTCCTTAGGGGCTGGTGATGATGGTGTATATTCCTAGTCACAAAATGTAATTTTGTTTCGGAATCGTAATGGTGAAGCCTCGT